CCTTTGCAATAACAGTGCACACTATAAAAAAAAAAAAAAAAAAAAAAAAAAAGTGTAATATTTATATGATAATAGATAATAAATAAAAAACTTATTTTTACTAATAATATATATATTATTGATAGATATTAGAAGTGCACAATTTTCCTTTAAAATGTTGTCTTTTTTATATTTTAAAATTTCCATTTTTTGTTTTCCACATATATATATATATAAATATATTCCTATTTTTCTTTCATACTTTTTCTATAAATTTAAATAATTTTTTATATTTTATTTTATTTTATTTTTTTTTTTTTTTTTTGTAGATATTAATAATAAAAACATGAATAAAATTTTGAATATTTAAGGAATTGTGAATATATATATATATATACATATATATATATATATATATATATATATATGTTATAAAAAGTGAAAATAATAAAATGGAATTAAATTAAAAAATATGAATATAAATATATATTTTGACTTTCTTAGTTTTCTATTGTATATAATTTTATGCTACTAAGTTTTTTATACATATTATTTTAAATATAATCATCATTTTATTAATATTTTTATATTTATTTATTTATTTATTTATTATTTATTTTATTTATTTATAATTATTTACTTTATTTTGTTAAAATAACATGAAATGGGGTGCAATCAAAGCAAAGAGGTTAAACATTTTAAAAAAAAAAGTACAAGTAATATAAACAATAAAAATAACACGTTAAAAGAAGAAAATGATAATAATCAAGATGAATTAGCTATAAAACCTGGAATGTATGTTAGAAAAAAAGAAGGAAAAATTGGAGAATCTTATTTTAAAGTTAGAAAATTAGGAAGTGGTGCATATGGAGAAGTTTTATTATGTAGAGAAAAACATGGACATGGAGAAAAAGCTATTAAAGTTATTAAAAAATCTCAATTTGAAAAAATGAGTTATTCAGATAGTAATAAACATAATGAAACAGATGATAAGTTTAATGAAGAAATATATAATGAAATATCTTTATTAAAATCTTTAGATCATCCAAATATTATAAAATTGTATGATGTATTTGAAGATAAAAAGTATTTTTATTTGGTAACAGAATTTTACAAAGGAGGAGAATTATTTGAACAAATTATTAACAGACATAAATTTGATGAATGTGATGCAGCTAATATTATGAAACAAATATTAAGTGGAATTTGTTATTTACATAAGCATAATATAGTTCATCGGGATATTAAACCAGAAAATATTTTATTAGAAAACAAAAATAGTTTGTTAAATATTAAAATAGTTGATTTTGGTTTATCTTCATTTTTTTCAAAGGATTATAAATTAAGAGATAGATTAGGGACTGCTTATTATATAGCACCAGAAGTTTTAAAAAAAAAGTATAATGAAAAATGTGATGTGTGGTCATGTGGTGTAATTTTATATATATTATTATGTGGATATCCACCATTTGGTGGTCAAAATGATCAAGATATTATTAAAAAAGTTGAAAAAGGAAAATATTATTTTGATTTTAACGATTGGAAAAATATTAGCGATGAAGCAAAAGAGTTAATCAAATTAATGTTGACTTATGATTATAATAAAAGAATTACAGCTAAAGAAGCCTTAAATAGTGCATGGATAAAAAAATATGCTGACAATATTAACAAAAGTGATCAGAAAACTTTGTTTGGTGCATTAACAAATATGAGAAAATTTGAAGGAAGTCAAAAATTAGCTCAAGCAGCTATTTTATTTATTGGAAGTAAATTAACCACCTTAGAAGAAAGAAAAGAATTAACTGACATTTTTAAAAAATTAGACAAAAATGGAGATGGACAATTAGATAAAAAAGAACTCATTGAAGGATATAATATTCTTAGAAGCGTAATACATTATTAAGAAAAAATTAAAAATATAAAATATAAAGAAATAACTTTAATTATTAAAAAAATATATAAAATTATTTATTTTAATAATAACATGTATATATATATATATATATATATGTTTTTTTTTTAGTTTAAAAATGAGTTGGGTGAATTAAAAAATGTAGAGGAGGAGGTAGATAATATTTTAAAGGAAGTTGATTTTGATAAAAATGGATATATTGAATATTCAGGTATATAATAAAAAAAAAAATTCAAGTTAAAAAAATAAATAAATATATATATATATAAAATCTTCAATCACATTATCATAATATCTTATATATTTTTTAAAACATTACAAACTACATCTTTACATATTTTGCATATATTTTTTTTTTATTCAAATTATAATATTTTTTTTTTTTTAATGTAGAATTTATTTCTGTATGTATGGACAAACAAATCTTATTCAGTGAAGAAAGATTAAGGGACGCATTTAATTTATTTGATACTGATAAAAGTGGAAAAATAACAAAAGATGAATTAGCTAACGTAATAAAAAAAAAAAAAAAAAAAAAAAAAACATATAAATAAAAAGTTATAAATAATAACACACATGTGTAATATGTCATTTATTCTTTTTTTTTATTATAGTTATTTGGTTTGACATCAATAAGTGAAAAAATGTGGAATGATGTATTAGGAGAAGCAGATAAAAATAAGGATAATATGGTAATAAAACAAAAAAAAAAAAAAAAATATATATATATATATATCGTATGATAATATATATAGATGTATAAAAAGATGTTAAATAAATATATATATATATATATATATAATTAGCATAAAGAAAAAATATTTATTAATATATATATTTTTTTTTTTTTTTTTTTCATTTCAGATTGATTTTGAGGAATTTGTAGCTATGATGCACAAAATTTGTGATCATAAATCATCATAAAAAAAAAAAAGAAAAATATTAAGTCTGTTTTTTTTTTTTTTTGTCATTTTTTTTATTTTTTTTTTTCTTTTTTATATATTTTTAAACTTTTATTTATTTTTTTATATTTTTTTAAAGTTTATCTAAATAATTTTTTTTATCGTTTTTCCCTTAAATGCTAAATTGATTTAAAAAAAGAAAAAATAAAAAAAGCACACACATATTTTATTATTTTTAAAACATTTTCGTATAGCTTTTAAAATATTTTTTATTTTCATTTATCTGAGAAAGTTTCAGTGCAAATAAATTAAAAAAATATTTTTTTTTTTTGTATTTTTTAGAATATTTATATGATAAAATAAAATAAAACAAAAATAAAAATGAATCTTAAATACATATTGGAAAATAGGATATTTAATACTTTATATATAACATTTGTTATGGTAGACAAAAACGAATAAAGGAAGATAAATATTCAAAAGGATATAATATCAATAACTTAAAAAAAAAAAAAATAAAAATAAAAAATAATAGGAACAAAAAATACAATTAAAACAGTTAAAAAAGACAATGAAAATAAAGTAATATGTTATAAATAAAATTAAAATTATATAAAGATAAATTAAAAATAAAAACATAAAAAAAAAAAAAAAAATATACATATATATATATATATATATATATATATATATATATATATATATATATATATATATATATATATATATATATAATAATTTAAAATAATAACTAAAATAATATCAGGAGAGATTTATTGTAAAGTAAAGTTTATTTACAGATTTATAAAAAAAAAGATCATCTGAATTTTTTTTTGAAATATTATTATTTTTGTTTTTATATAATCTATATATTTCTTCAAAAAATAAATTATATATATCATTTTTATTTATATTTTTAAAGAGTTTCATTTTATTTTCTTTTTTTACTTTTATTTTTTGTTTCTTTGAAAAGTAATTTTTCTCCTTTATATAAATATCAGTAGTACTAGATGAATATCTATATTCCTCAAAGTTAATATATGTTTGTGAGTTATTTGTTGAATTATTTTTTTTTTCTAATATATCTTTATTGTCATTTAGTATATTATTTAGTATATTTTCATTTTCTTCTATATCGTTTTGAGATGAATCATATTTATTGTCCGTATTTACGAGTTTGTTATTATTATATTGATTGCTATCCTTGTAATCAGAGCTTTCATTTTCTGATATGCTATTACTTTTTGTACTAAAATATTTTTCTTTATTTTCTTCTGTTTTTATGTTATTATTTAAATACTCTGATATCATTTGATTTTCTATATTCTTATCATAACTCAAGTTTACGTATTCATAGTTTCTATCTCGCTCTTGAACTAAAACGTTATTAATTTTTGTGACAAATTTTTCGTAGTCTTGGTCTATGAACATTAATTGAATATTTTTTCTAAGAGAGTTATGGAATATCTAAAAAGAAAAATATATAAGATAAAAAAAAAAAAAAAAATAAGAAATGAGATACAAAAAAAAAAAAAAAATAAAAAAATTAGAAAAAAAAAAATGTATTTTAAATTTTAACTATTTTTGCGTCAAATCCGCATTTTTGCCATTCACTTTCTGACGAAAAGCTTTCTTTATTTTTTGAATAAAAATCAACATCATCGTCAGTAGAGGAAGAATTTGTTGAATTCACTATATTTAGCTTTTGTGAACTAATTAATGAATCAAAAAAACCATCATAAGAATATATTTTTTTTATTTCCATTAAAAAATAAAAAGAATCATAAGATATAGAATTTTCTGAGTTATAAAAATAAATTTTATCATCTTTTAAAATTAATATTTTTCTATCAAACTGTCCATTTGCGTTTTTTATATAAACCTTTATACAATTTTTTATTTCATCTTCGTTCATTTCAAATAAGGTATTTTTTTTTTTTATTTTCTTTTTATAATCAAATTCTTCACTATAAATACTACTTATATCATAATCTTTATCTATTTCATCTTCACTCTGATTAAGTGAGTTTGTATTTTTTTTTTTTCTTTCTTTAACATTAAGGTTTTCATTATATGTTTTACTTGTATCAGTTTCATAATTTAAATTATTTTTATTTTCAATAAATAAATTATTTTTATTTTCAATAAATAAATTATTTTCATTTTCAATAAATGAATTATTTTCATTTTCAATAAATGAATTATTTTCATTTTCAACAAATGAATTATTTTTGTTTTTTTTAAAAATTGATTTATCACTACTAGGATTGTCTAAATCACATTTTCTAATTGTTTCAATTTCATCCAGATAATGTATATCTTTTTTTTTTTTTTTTTCATTTTTATTAATTTCACTATTATTACCACTATTTGAAGGATATTTAATATTTACATTATTTTCATTTTGAGAAAATATGGATTTCTTTTCATTTTCACTGAATTCCTCATTATCAATGTCACTCATATCATTATATATATTTATTTCATTACTCTCTGTTTTCATATTATTGCATTCTTTTTCTTCATTAGCTTCCTTTCTTGATAAACAATCATGTGAATTATTTATTTTTTTCTTATTTAAAGGGTTTATAGAGCTTAATGTATTATCTTCTTTCTTTTCTCCTTTATCTTTGTTTTCAATAATTTTTTTTTCTTTTTTTCTTTCTTCAAATTGCACGTTAAGGTTATTTGATGATAAGCTATTATTTTCTGAATTGTTTTCATTATTTATTTTTTTATTTTCAATTATGGCATTTTTTAATTTATAGTCTTCAATAAAGTTATTAAAATTTATATCTATTCTTTTATTACTGATATAATAAAAGAAATATTTATTTTTTATAGGAAGATGTAATAATTTATCACTCGGTAAAGTAAGTATATTCTTTAAGTAAATAAGAAAATTAATATATTTATTATCAAAAAAATCTTTAAAATCTATTTCTATTAATTGATTATATATTTTAATAAAGCTACATGTATCATATATTAATGTAGATTGAAAATTTTCAAATGTGTTTTTATTTACTTTTTCTTTATTTATTTTACATATATATTCTTTTATTAAGTTTTTTAACGTTACGGAAAAAAATAAAATAAAACAAAATTTTTTTAATCTGTTTTTTAAACAATAATAAGTATTATATTCATATATTTTTTCTATATATGAATATAGTTTTAATTCAATTATACTTTTACTGTTATTTATTTTTTTTAAAATTTTTTTAAAAATATTTCTATATATCACTTCTATAAAGCTTATTAAAATATTGAATATTTTTGTTTTATTTTCTCCAAATTTTTTTTTTTTTTCTTTTTTGTTTTCCATTAATTTATATGGATTTTGTATTTTTTGATTGTGTATCATATTAAATTCATTTATGCTATCATTATCACTCATTGCATATTTATCTGGATTGTTATTATTAATTTCAAAAAAAAAATTATTATCAATTTTTACATATTCTTGATAGTATAAATCATCTATTCTTTCTCCATTAAATAAATTTTTTTCATTGTCATTTTCAATATTTTCCTTTTCAGTAGTTTCAATATTTTTTTTTTCATTAAACTCTTCTACAATTTCTTTTTTATTATTCATTATATTTTTATTCACTTTTTGATTACTATCATCCTCCATTTCATTGTTGGTATCTTCATTTGTTTGTTTTTTTTCATTTATTTGTAATTCATTATATTTTTTGTCCTTATTTGATTTCTTAAAATTTTTAGGTGAATAGATCGTTTTTGAATAGATGTATAAACTATTTACAAGAGCGCACAAATAATCATTGAAATAACTTTTAATTAATAATATATATTTATTTTCATTTTTACATTTATGAATAAAAAAATGACTGTACTGCATATTTAATATTTCTATTTTATTTTTACACATTTTTATTATTTGAAATGGTTTTTCATTTTTACTAAAAATATTATCTGGCACATTTTCATCCTTTAAATCTTCTCTTTTCTTTTTATTTACCAATTCATTCTCATTAGACAATGAAGAAGAGTTAATTGAATTGAAAGAAAAAGATAAAGAAGAAAAAGAATAATTTGTTTTGTCTTCCGTAAAAGAATTAAATAAACAAAAATTTTCAATAAATGATAGAAATATGAAATTTTCATTAATTGAATTAGTATATTTATAATAACTGTTATATATTTCGCTCTGTTTTTTATTTTTACAGTTGTATGAAATTAATTTATTATATTTTTTTTTTTTATTAGATAAAAAATTATTATTTATTTGTAAATATTTGAAAATATTCTGAGGTATCATATTTTGTTCTATTATTAAATTATATAATAATTTATGAAAAAAGAAAAATAGGAATAATTTTAATTCTTCATAAAGTTTCACTAAAGGATTTATATTTGTTTTTTTAATTATTTCATCGTATACATCTAAAATTTTTATAATATCTGTAAATATTGGTAGAATTAAATAAGTTTTCTTTTTTTTCATAATTTTTATTTCACATTCATCTATTAACATTCTTTTAATTATTAAATAAATACTGAACCTGTGATAATAAAAAAAATTATAAAAAAGAAATTTAATTGTATTTTTGTACATTTTTTTTTTTTTTTTTTTATTTATTTAAATGTTAACTTATTTATTTTTCAGTTTTTCATTTTATTACCACAACATAGAATTTATTTTATTGACATATGAAGAGCATAAAATGTATATATTATCAAATAAATTAACATTCCTTATTTGTAGTTTTTTTAAAATTATGTACATTTTATAGAAAAAGGTTAATATTATCTGAACAAATAATACAATAGATAATTTTAATGTTTCAAAAATAAAAATAAAACTTTTATTTTATTTTTTTACTAAAGTATTAGACAAGGAAATATGAAAGTAATGGTTATTCCATAATAATATCAATAAATGAAAAACCTAAAAATATAAATTAAAATAATAATATATGTGTTAATAAATATGTGCTAATTCATTTCAATTAAATAATATAAAAAAGTTTACTGGCTCAAAATAAATTTTATGAATTTTTTTCCTTTTTCTATAAAATTTCCAATTCAAATCCATTAGAAGATTTATGCCATAGTTGGTATAACTATCACATATATTTATAAACTATAAAGAGAAATAAATATGCATATATACTTTTTATAAATATATATATATATAAAAAAATAAAGAAAATTACCTTTTGAATTGGAGTAATAGAATAAGGCAAATTAGACAGTACATTAAACAAAATAAGAAGAAAAAAGTAATGATCAATTAATTTTTTTTTTTTATAAAGTTTTTTTAAAGTGACTGAATTTTTCCCAAACAGCTGTATGATAAGTTTCTCGTTTCCATTTCTAATTTCAATTTCTTCAAGATATAAATCACTTTCTATAGCTACCTTCAAAAAGATAAAAGAAAATATAGGAAAAGTTGTTAGTTAAAATATAATAATGAAATGGTGAAAAATAAAAAAAAAAAATTCTAAAATATATAAATAGTCATATTCATAAGAATGTTTATAACAACTATAAATTGTGAACAATGTAACTTTGGAAATTCATATGGAAAACATATTTTAATTTTTTAAATATATATATATATATATGTTTTAACTTTCTTAAATTTCCTTATTAGGTATTTATATGCTTTTCTACAAGATATATGTTTTTTCTTTATATCACTACTATATTCTAGTTTATTTTCAAATGTATTTTTGATATAATTAGAATTTAAAAAAGAATAAAATTGAGAGAGGTATTTATTTTCATAGTTTTCATTTTTACATTGTTCACTATTATTTTTTTCCTCTAACATTTTTATGTAAAAAATATTTTTTTAAATATGACAACATAAAAAGAAATATATCCAATTAGATAAAAATTAGAAATAAAAGTAGAGACAAAGATATTTTATGTAATATTGCTATTAAAAAACATTTTAATTTCACTTTTTTTTTTTTTAACATTATAACTTTTAAATAAAAATAGAAAAACTAAATTACATTCTTCAAAATTAAAGAAATTGAAAAGTCAAATGTAAAAAGGAAAACGAAAATAATTAAAATTTTGTATATATAAAATTAGCAAAAATATATACGTTTTTTAAAACGTTCCAAAAAAGAGAACAAAAAAAAAAAAAAAAAAAAAAAAATTGTATAATGTGGTACTTCTATTTTTATTTTTTTATTCTTTATATTTATATATATTTTATATAAAAAATAAATATTTTCATATTTAATTTTTTAATATGAATAATTATACAGAAAAATAAAATAAAATAATATAAAAAAAAAAAAAAAAAATTTACTTATCAAAATAATTTCCAAAATAAAATTTAAAGAAGTTAAAACAAAAACGAAAAACAAAAAAAAAAAAATAAACAAATAAAATTAGGAATTTTGTTTTATAATTTTTTTCTATTGAAAAAAAAAGAAAAAAAGTATTATATTTTTTCTTATGAAAAAGAAATTCAAAAGATTTATTTAAAAAAAAAAAAAAAAAAAATATGAAATGTTTTGTTACAAATTTTATGTTTGGAAAAAGCGAAATTTCATATTTTTATAAAATAACATTACTTTAATCAGGTAAAACATCAAAAAAATGAAAGACTTTTTCTTTTATTTCAAAATAGGCAATATGATTATTACAGTTAATACAAAAAACAGCGTGATATTTTAGTGAATTTTCCTTTTCTCTCCTTTTTTTATTTGTAGTTGTGATATTATTTAAGTCCTTTTTTATATTGTTTTCTTCTTTTCCATCTAAATTATTTGAGTTTTTATTTTTTGAATTAATTTCATCTTCATCTAATAAAGTATCTTCATTTATTTTTACATTAACTGCATATAAGCTTCTGTATTGATTAATATAATGTTCATGCCTTTAATAAAAAAAGAAAACACATATGAGAAAAAAATATGTATTTGAAAAAATAAAATGAAAAAAAAGTAAAAAGAAAAAATAACCTTTGACTTTGATAACAAACAGGTGTAAAGCATCCACAGCAACATAAACTTGAATCACAATTTTTTGTACAAAATCCTTTTAAAAAAAAAAAAAAAAGTATTAATATATTATGAACAGATCATATTTTTTATATTTTTTGTTATTGATTTATATGTCTTACTATATTTTTTATTTACATATTCTTCATTATAATCATCAATTTTTTCATCATAAAATTGTAGAACTTTTTTTTCACTTTCACTAATATGGTCATCATCATCATTTATATCTTCATCTTCTTTTTCTTCATTTCCTTCATTTATTTTTTTTTCTTTTGTTTCCCTTTTATTATCTTTTTCTTTGTCTAAATAGTGATATAAAGATTTATAATATTTTTTTTTAATTAAAATATTGCAAATAAAATATTTTTAATAATAAAAAATTAATAAAAGGAGAATTCTATACTAGGGAGAATTATTATAAATGAAATTTTTTTTTATATATTTTATTGACCTGATAAAAAATTTGAGACTTTTGCATCAGAAAAATTTTCATTCAAAAATGATTTTGCAACATTTATCCCTTTTTCCTTTGATAAATCTTTAACATTTTCTTTTCGTTCTATAACTTTTATTTCATTAATTAAAAGGTTGATTACATTGTTCATTTTTCTTGAATTCATAAGATGAAAAATGATATATATGATAAATAAAAATTGATAAAAGTAAAATTTTAAAAAAATTCAAAAGATAAGATTTATGGAAAATAATGTAATTGTCTCTTCTTTTTCTTTGTGTATTTTCTTATATTTCTTCTATAAAATATTTATTATGGCAACAAAAATATATTGTCGTATACTTTATTATTTTATTTTAATTTAATAAAATAAAAAAGAAAATGAAATATTAAAAGAATTTAAAAAATCTTAATAATATTAATGAAAAGTTTTATTTTTTTTTTTTTATAATTTTCTAAAACGTTGCATTCATTTTTTAGCAACACTTTTATAAGACTAAAAAATTATTTATACATATACAAATGAATATATATATATGTATAAAATACATATATTTTTTTTTTATATAAATGAATAGAAAGGAAATAAGTAAAAAATTAAAATTTTATATGGTTCCTTGAAATATTTAAAAACATTAAGATATATTAACGTGATTTAAAAACATATTTTATACGTATCTTTCAAAAAGTATAAAATATAAATATAATTTTTCAAATTAAATTTTTTATTTGAAAAAAACCCTATAATTTTTATGCCTTAGAAAAACAGTCACTGAACAGCATAATTAAATTTTACAGAATAACAATATTTGTTTTTTTTTTTTTTTTTTTTTATTGTTATATATGCTTTTTTCATTTAATATTATTATTAAAAAAAAAAAAAAAAAAAAAAAAANTTAAAAAAAAAAAAAAAAAAAAAAAAAGGATATTCACAAAAATACATAAAATATTCAATAACATTTGCAAGTATTAAATAAAAAAAAAAAAAAAAGTTTTAAAAGGGGTTTAAGGATATGAAATATATAGATATTCATATTGTGTTATTTTTATATCAAATAATTTTTTTTTTCTATTTTTATTAATTTTTTTTTTTTTTTTTTTTATATTTTCTTTTCTTTTATTTTATAATTTTAAGAATATAAACAATAAATCTTACTGTAAAAAAAAAGGGAAAAAATTTAGAAACCTGTATAAAACTATAAATATTAAATTACAAGTAAAAAAAATTATTTAAAAAAAAAAAAATAAAAGAATATAAATTCGAAAAATATGTAAATAAAAAAAAATTTTTTTTTTTTTTAAGAATAAAATATTATGAAACTTTTATATACACATATATATTAAACTTTATTTTTAAAATTTAAAGTTTTCATTTTCTTTTTTTTTTTTTTTTTTCATACAAGCTTTTTAAAAAATGCCAAAAAAACGTAGAAACGGAGGTAGATCAAAACATAACAGGGGACATGTAAATCCTTTAAGATGTTCAAATTGTGGTAGATGCGTACCAAAAGATAAAGCAATAAAAAGATTTAATATTAGAAATATTGTTGATGCATCAGCACAAAGAGATATAAAAGAAGCTTCTGTTTATTCTACATTTCAATTGCCTAAATTATATATCAAACAATGTTACTGTGTATCTTGTGCAATTCATTCTCGTTTTGTTAGAGTTAGATCAAGAGAACAAAGAAGAGTAAGAAAAGAAACAGCTAAGCATATTAATCCATCACAATTGTAAATGAACATGTATTTCTTTTATTAATTTAAAGGAAATGTTTTTTTTTTTTTTTTTTTTAAAATAAAAAGTGAAAAATAATTGAAATTAACAACCGATAGATAAAGAATAAATGAAATGTGTATATTATGAAAAATAAGTAGTTTAAATAATATTTATTATTACCATTGTTAATATTATTGTTATTATTATTAGTATTAATATTTTTATACATGAATTTTATTTTTGAAAATTTATATATAGATACTTTTTTTTATTATTTTTATATATACAAAGGAATAATTTTGTTTTCAATATTTACTCTTAAAAAATACCTTATATAAAATTAACAAGATGTTTTTACTTCAACAATAAAGTTAAAAGAACTTAATAAAAAAAAAAAAAAAAAAAACAGTTTTCATTTATTGATGATATTAATAAATATTTAACCAAAAAAAAAAAATTAAGTAAAATTAAAAAATAAAAAACATATGGTTTATAACTCTTTCTAAAATTTTACATAAAAATTGATAACGTAAATATATATGCATAATTATTTAAGATTAAGCATATTTAAAAAAAAAAAAAAAAATAAATAAAATAAAATTCGTTAATAGAACATATTAAAGAAATAGAAACATACATAAATATATATATATATTTTCACCATTTAATAAAATTAAAAAAAATTATTATGTACTTATATAATAATTAAAATTTTATTGTAAAAGTTGTGAGCGTATATAACTGAATAAGTAAAATTTAATTTCTTCATCAGATTGGGGTATAAAGGATATTTCACAATTATTTTCAAAAGATAAATCAAAAATTGTTGTTAAAAAATATGTACTTCTCTTAAAATCAAAGCAGTATGAAGAAATTTTAATTTGAATTTTTTCTTTATCACAATAAACTACTTTTCCTTTAAATGAAACAACAGAATTATAAGGAACAGGTAGTATATATTGAATTTCATTTATTTCAATAAGGACTGGATATGCTACGAAATTTTTTATTATTACCATAGCATGACAAAAAGATAAATAAGCTAAGTATCCTCCAAATGTAAAATTGTGTATATTCTTAAATTCTGATGATATAAAGTAATTTGATTCAACATATGAATCTTTACAATAAAAATTTGATTTTCCTATATAAAAGGATAAATCATCTTTATCTAGGATATCATCAATGACCGATAAAATATTTTCTTTTTCATATTCTTCATCTTTTTTTTCATTTTGTTCAAAAATATTTGTATTTTCATAAATATTTTTTATGTATGGTTTTTTCTCTACTCTTACATTTTTAAAATAATTTAATATAAAATTAATATCCTTCTTATCTAAATACTTATTTTTAACATCTTTATGATTAAACAAATTCTGTATATCTTTAAGGTGAGATGCAAATTCCTTTACTTCCTCATATTCTTTATTTTTTGTATGATTACTCACACCAGCCACTAATTGGGGTTTAAATGTTAAATTATTTATATTTACAAATGTAGAATATATATCAAAAATAAGTTGATTTTCTTGAAAAAAATCAACTTTTAATATATATGAAGTATTCCCTGAATGAACAATATAACAGTTTATTGTCAGTGGTTTTTGTTGATCTAGTGAAAAACAAAATTCATGATGAATTTTATTTTTTTGGTACACTTTTAAGTTATTAAATAAAACAGTTACAAAGTTAAACTTATTATTTTTTTTATAGGAACCCATACTATGTCTGTATACAACATCAGCAGCTAAAGAATCAATTATTTCAATTATATGTTTAAAAAGGTGATTCTGTTCATATTCACTCAAAATAGGAATTTTCAATTGAACAAAAGAATCTAAAAAGTCTACACTATTATTACCTTCAAATGAAGAAATTGCATCAAAATTATTCTTTTCAATTTTTTCATTATTTATTTTATTGTTATTATTATCTACTAAATTAATATTATCATTAACATCAAGTTCTTTAAAATTTATTCTACTACTGTTAGTTTGTAAATTATCAGAACAATCATTTTTACATGATTCCAAATATTTTTTTAAAATAACTTTAGTTTCTAAAAGTGTAGTATCTATCTTATATTTGTGCTTTAGTGTTCCAAATATTAATGGGCATGATTTTTCAATATCTGTTATACTTAAGTATTTCTCAGGTGGATATACATATACATTTTCTTTTTTCATTAATAGAGTTTTATTTCTTAAATTTTTAAAAATTTCGTTATTTAGTTTTTCTAATTTTAAATAACTTTTATTTAAAGTACACATTTTGCTTGATATAAATTGGGAAATGTTAAAATATTTATACATTATATATATATATATACACACATATATATATATATTTACATATATATAAAACTTTTTTTTAATAATCTATACAAATTGTTATATCACATTCATTTTAATTTTTCATGAAGTTTTTCAACTTTTTTTTTTAAATACATGGATTCATAAAATTAACGTTCAATTAATTAGATGAAAAAAATATTACAATCTCTCATATAAATACTAAAAATAATTAAATGATTTACAACAATAGGATATTTGTCCTTTTAATTAATAATTTCTTAAAAGAAAAGAAAATCTAAAATAAATTTATGAAAATAATAAATAATATAAAAATTATATAGGTAAAAAATTGTTTTGCTAAATATATTAATGAAATAACGTATATGAAATGTAATTATAATATAAAATACTTAACCTTTAAAATGAATAAAAAAAAAAAAATAATAATAAATTTTTAATTGTTTTATGTCATTTAAATTATTCTCGTAAGAATTAATAAAATTTCATTTTACATATATACATATATATGAAAATTTTAAAATTGTAAGATATAAATTTCACGTTTTATTATAAATTTAAAATAAAAAATTAAGATAACATGTATATTTTTATAAATCGTTTAAAAAATAATACAGTCCATATTACATAATATATTAAATTATAAAAAATAATAAAAATTTAAAAAATAATCTTGTAATATTTATCTTAAATTGCTTTATAAATAAAAATATTTATAAAATGTGTTAATAAAAAAAAAAAAAAAAAATATTTTAGTTCTCCATAGATGATATTAATAAATAATAATCAAACGATTCTTTTTTTTTTTTTTTTTTTCATTCTAACATATTTAATGAGTATTTCTATTTATTATTTATTACTTAATTTTGTTAATTTCTATTTTTATCTTAATAAAACTTTATAGTTTATTAAATTTGTATCATACAAATTTTGACAGCATTTTTTTTTTTTTTTTATAATTATTTAACATAATAAAAAAAAAAAAAAAAAAAAAANAAAAAAAAAAAAAAAAAAAAAAAAAAAAGGGGTGAAATACAAATATTAAAATATATTAAATATGTTTTTTTATACATTTGGAAAAATATTTTTAGAATAATTTTACATTATAGAAAATATAAAGTGCACATATATATGAAATATATATTTTTTTTTGTATTACTAAAAATTAGAAGAGCTTAAAAAAAAAAAAAAAAAATAAAAATATAGCATTTAAATATATAAGATGCGCATATTTAAAAAAAAAAAAAAAAAAAGCTAGTATAAAAAAAAGAAAAAAAAAAATGTATATAATATTTAAATTAGTAGAATAAAATTGTGATAATTTTTCAGATTGCTTTTATTTATTATTTAAAAGTATATATATATATATTTAGATGAGTAAATGGAAAATAATATATAAAAAGATATATGAAAATATAGAAATAGATAAATATTTTAATATATTCTAGAATTTTATGAAAATTATATATCTATAAAAAAAAAAAAAAAAAAATTTTTTTTTTAATAATATCAACATTATATTTTAAGTAAGTTTAGATAATATGGATAATCTCCCATGGGTTGAAAAATATCGTCCAAAAAAATTAGATGATATAGTTCATCAATCAAATGCAGTAAGAATGTTAAAAGAAGTAGTAAAAACAAAAAATATGCCTCATCTAATTTTTCACGGTCCTCCAGGTACTGGAAAAACATCAGCTATAAATGCTTTAGCTCATGAATTATTTGGAAAAGATAATATAAAAGATCGCGTTTTAGAATTAAATGCATCTGATGATAGAGGTATAAATATTGTAAGAGAAAAAATAAAAGCATATACAAGAATAAGTATTAGTAAAAATAAAATAAATAATGAAACAAATGAAACATTACCATCATGGAAATTAGTAGTTTTAGATGAAGCAGATATGATGACAGATGATGCTCAATCAGCTTTAAGAAGAATAATAGAAATATATTCAAATGTTACTAGATTTATACTTATATGCAATTATATCCATAAAATTTCTGATCCTATATTTAGTAGATGTTCTTGTTATAGATTCCAATCAATCCCAATTAATATAAAAAAAGAAAAATTACTTTATATATGCAAAAGTGAAAATATTAATATTACAGATGATGCATTAGAAAAAATAATTGAAACAACTCAAGGTGATTTAAGAAGAGCTGTGTCTATTTTGCAATTATGCTCTTGTATTAATCCGCAAATAACATTAGAATCTGTTTTAGATGTATCTGGTTTACCAAATGATAATATTATTCTAAAAATTATAGATGCATGCAAAATGAAAGATTTAAAAAATGTAGAAAAAACTGTACAAGATATTATTGAAGATGGTTTTGATGTATCTTACATTTTTAAAGCGTTTAACAATTATTTTGTTACGAATTCTGATTATCAAGATTCATTAAAATATCAAATTTTATTAGAATTATCTAGACATGATTATCGTTTACACAGTGGAGCAACACAATATATCCAACTACTAAGTTTTGCTGTTAAAATACATTCATTATTAAATAGTATTTCATGAATTCTAAAAAAAATTCATTTCATTTTATTATAAAACATATATATATATATATATATATATATATATATATATATATATATTATTTATTAGTATTTTTAATTTTTTTTTTTTTTTTTTTATTTTTGACAACAAAAAAGTTTCTTTTTTAATTTTCTAATTTTTTTCTGCATATAGATATTTTAATAATTTTCATTTTATTTTTTCATGTGCAATTCAATTTATTATTTCATTTTTTTTTCTGTCATTATTTAAATTTTATAAAAGGATAATTAAAAATATTATGAAAACTTAGATAAAAAATTTTTATTTTAAAAGGTACTAGCATGATTTTCTATATCTCTTTTAAAAAAAAAAAAGTTGTTGAATTATTTTTAGGAACTCTTTAATTCGAAAAAAAAAAAAAAAAAAAAAAAAAAAAAATTTTATTTTTTTAAAA